TGTCGTCCGTAGCGATGGGTTTTTTTTTGGAGGATATGTAGAAACATGAATTAGCTAGCGACAACGAGCGTGGAGAGACTAGAGCTGTTTCTACTGGACTCCTGGAGGACTAAACTTCACAAGCTAACGTCCACAGGAGTCAGACATAAAATAGACAGGTTAGCGATCATCGTGTAGGTCGGAAGACGGGCTGAGTATGACGATGAAAGTTTGCACAGAGGAGAGGACGTCTGTTTGTCCCAATAGGTTTACGCGTTCTACCCGATTTCTCGGATCGGGGGAGTATAAAATGCAGAGGCGACGTCAACGAAATGTTATCGCGTACTTTTTCGCCCGGTACCTACCCATTAAATAAGGTACTCCCACACCAGAACCGTCGAGGTGTACTACGGTGCTCTATACAAGCCAAATGTCTGTAGCTACTAACGAGGTAGGAAACGGGTTGACGGGGGATCGGCTTCCCCCGTGAAAACACGAATGCGGGTGCATCTACTATGAGGACGTAACTTCCTGTCCGAGGATCAGTTATGACCTGTAGTAGACGCCCCTGAGGGTTTCGGAGGTAACTAGAAGCTCTGTACGTGTGTGCCGTACTAGTACTAGTTGAAGTAATACACGCTAAGACGGCAGAAGAAAATAAGGTTGTCGCGTGACGGCAACTATCCCTAACTGATAGAAATTTGGGTAAAATCACCCTTAAGTTCTCCTATCTCCTCGGTATTTAATACTCTTTCGGACCCTCGTGGTGAAGTAAAGTTCAAGACGAGACGGGTATCTCTCTCACAATACCGCGTAGGTGGACAACTATAGGAGGATTACTGTACGGCTTTTATCGTCCCGAGGCAATTCGATTTCTAAAGATTCTAGTCCTCTCTGCTACAATTAGGGTTATTGGAGGATAGGTAACAAAAGTTTGATTTCCGACATGAGTATCCAACACAACATATACATATACTCGAATCACCCGCTAACGGAAGTGAGAACGAAGGTTAAATAGAATATAGGTCTCTTTCGCGGTTTATTATACATAGCATAGGTGCTGACGGCTCGCATATCGTCCCCACGGACCGGACGTAGTTCTCGATTTCATATAGCAGTGGCAATGTATAGATTAACCTGTTA